GATCAGAAATCACCCTCCCCTCCTTGATACCAATATTATATGCCAAAGATAAAGTATATGCATTGGGAGTACGGTTTTCTAGATCTCTGTCGCCCTTTATCTCGTTGAGCTTCGTTGGCCTACCGCCTACTTTCTCTTTTTCTCTGTCTTTCTCTTGCTCTATAAATATTCCAAATTTGTGGACAAGACAATTAATCTAAGCTTAATACTTTAGAAAACACGGATACAGAAACAATTTCCGCTTTCCGTTTTCGTCTTTATTGACTCTATAGTTGTCTCTGTTTCACAAGACGCTGGTGGCTATGCGATTTCCCGTCAAAATAACCTAGAGTTACATTTGGGTTGCCATACCTGTTGAATGAGTTATTTTACATTGGTATGCCTGTGGTGCGGACAGACGGTCGGGCGGTCCAGAGGCGGATCTAGGGGGAGGGTGCAGGGGGTGCGCACCCCCCCCCCCAAGGATGACCTGCGGTTTTCTAATACAACTGGTATTCTGCCAAAAAAAAAAACTATGTGGTTTATTGGTGTTGAAGTAGAGCAAGAGACGAGTGCACCTCCTCCTACAAAAAATCGTGGATCCGCCCCTGCGGTCGGTCGGTGTACGGTCACGTGATAACTAAATTTTCTTGGATGGGCAGTTTACCTCATTTCCTTACCCATGGTGCTGCGCGCGCTTCACGCGCGAGAGCTCCGCCATTAGATGATTTCCTGTGGGATAGCAAAGTTCTTGTGCAATTTAAAACAAAAAGATGCATCGCAGCTGAAAATAAGACCCTTTTTTAAAAGAAATTGTAGAACATTGGTCCAACTTAAATTACAGTGAGAAGAACCCACTTTTTGAGTTAACATGTATCTGGCATAACTCACTAATTACGATCGAGAAGAAACCTTTTTTTTACAAATCATGGTTTAAAGCGGGTGTGGAGAATGTCACTGAAAGACCTCCTTGATGAGGCTTCCAGATTTATTAGCTTTGATGTTTTTGTAAGGAAATTTAAAGTTAAAGCTAACTATCTTGAGTACTATAAAGCTGCATCTACAGGGTGTTTCAAAATTTCGTTCCGATTTTTTATTCGCTTAAATTTTACTAATTATTAAAAAAACTTGAAGCCTTTTGTAAAACTTAGTATGTTATTCATTATTCATTTACCATCGATTAACTAAAATATTAGTAACCAGAATGTCTTCTTGTATGTTTTCTGACATTTTCTAAGCGGTGAGATATAGAATGTATTTTAGTTTGAAATTGCTTTGAACTGTTAAACGGTTATTTAGATAAATTTCTTACCTGAATCAGTTTGCATTTGCCTAAAGAAGAATTAATGAAATGCTTTGCGCAAAATACAACTTATAATCGGAACGAACTTTTGAAACACCCTGTA